GCCCTTGACCGGAATCAAACCTGGGACCTTTCAGTCCGCAGACCGACGCTCTACCACTGAGCCAAACCAGTTTTGGCAAGAGTTTGACTCTTTCTTAAAGAGACCTATTTTGCTAACTGCTGAAAGATATGCACATTTTGTAGTTTGGTTGCATGCATTCCAAATATCTTCCAGCATGTGAAAGGGAGTGCACATAACGTGATGTCATTCCTTTAAGTTATAGATACCGACCCTGCTTATAAAGGTTTTACTTGAAAACGAAAAATTATACTCTTTGGGGAGAGTGTGAGCCCTGTTCATGTGTTGGGTGTCCGGGGTGTTTGTGTCCATGTGAAATTAAGTGGGAAATTGTAAGCCACTCCTGGAGAGATGCTATGTCTTTGCTTCTTCAGTCCACAGTGAAATGAAGGTTTAATGAAACCTTGTTGATGAAAAGTGCATTGTGCTCTGGATGTGCTCGGACGGATTCCTCAAAATGACAAAGTCTGGGCACTGATCCAGGAGCACAAACCCTCTCTCTCACACTCCCTTCAAGCTGGCAGCAGGAACTGAGCAATCGTGCTGAGCTCAGCCCGCTTCTGTGTGCTTGTACATAGTAATTCATGTAATGCCCACAAGAAGTCTCTGAGGTCAATACGATCCATAACTCCATTTACTAGATGGGCAAGTGAAGGCACAGAGAGGTGAAACCACAAGCCCAGAGGATCAGAACCAGGATCCACACCTAGGTAGTCTGATTCCTGGGCTCCTAAGTACTATGCTAGGCTAAATTTTAAAATAATGTAAGAATAAGAGGTATCATTCATTTATATTATTATTTATTACTCTAATAGCAGCAGCTAACATTTCTGTGAGTCAAGCACTGTGCTAAGCATTGTACAATCTTATTTTGTTTATTCTTCCCAACAGCCTGTGCATGTGCATCCTGGCCTTATCTTCATTTAAGGCTGAAGATCAGAGAGGTTTAGCAGCTTACTCAAGGTCACAGAGCAAGCAAACTGTGAGGCTGTGACTGGAGACTCCAAAGCCCTCACATGCTTTCACTTACTACACAGGAGGATTCATGTCACCAATAGCTTTTCTCACAGTGAGACAACTTGAAAGGGCCAGCACCTGCCCCTTAACAAGTGTTCAAGTACCTCTGAGTGAAGGTAACTGGAGTAACAAACACATTAAGAGGTAGCAGAGCCCGGCCAGCTTGGCTCAATGGTTGAGAATCAACCTATGAACCAGGAGGTTCTGGTTGGATTCCTGGTCAGGGCACATGCCCTGGTTGTAGGCCCGATTCCCAGTGTGGGGTATGCAGGAAGCAGCAGATCAGTGATTCTCTCTCATCATTGATGTTTCTGTTTCTATCTCCTTCTTTCTTCCTCTCTGAAATCAATAAATATATGTGCATATATTTTTTAAAAGAGGTAACAGAGTCACTGAATTTTAGTTTTGATAACCCGCAGATTTGTCTTATGAAATAGCTGACTGAGGATACCGCGGCGGGTGAGAAAGCCAGGGTGCCCCTGAATCAGCAAGGCTCAGCAAAACCACAGCCAGGAACCACCAAGTTTCACTAAGACTATTCATAGCACAAGCAGAGCAAAAAGGAAATCCTGACAAGACAGCCAGCCCCTCCGAGCAGTGGCCTACACACCTGTCACCCCGGGGTCTGGTGTCTCTCTGTCCCTCTCCAGCTGCAGTCACCACCAGAAATGATTTAACTGCTTCAGGCCCCATGGGCTCCTCCTTCTAGAGCCATAATGTAATGCCCCATCTATGTTATGTCATTATTTACATCATCATCATCATTATCATCAACATCATTTACTACTCTATTATTACTCTATTAAGGAAGTTCAGAGAAAATAATCTAATGGAAATGCTTTGAAGAGCTTAAGTTACCAAAAAAAGGCATTGTTTTGATCACATTGACCATAAAGGTTTACCATGAAAGGAAATCATTTTGCTCTCTTTTGCCAGTGTCTGCTTTGGAATCCTGGAATATTTTTAATTAAGTTTTATAGAAAGTTCCATACCTGCATATTTACAAACTCTGCCATACATTTTAAGATAAACTACATTTTGAAGTGAACATTGATTTTATTCATATAACCTCCATTAAAGGAAAAATATTATTAATAGCCTAGGAGCAATAAGTTTGGACTCTGAGCTCTTGGGTTCAAATCCCAGCTGATTTTTACTAGGGAGGTGACCTTGGATATGACACTTAATCTTTCCCTGCCACATTTTTCTCATCCAAAAAATGGAGGCAATGATAGCATAGAGGTTGTTATGGAGATTAAATAAAATGGATTTGTCAGGGTGTCCAATAAAGAGTTAGCAATCAACAAATATTCTCAGTTTTCATTTTCTTAAAAGGAAAACAATAGGAACATACAGGGTGGGGCAAAAGTAAGCTTACAATTGTGAGTACATGAAACACAGAGGTTATTCTTGTATAATTATTTATTGTATTATTTTTCATATGAACAACTGTAAATCTACTTTTGTGCCCCCCCACCCCCCGTATTTTGCAAGACCTTCTTTCACAAATGTTAGAGGATCCTAAAATAATATTGAAAAATACTTGAAAAGATGAACTATGAACAAAAGCAGAAATGCATTTCTTAATGTTATTTTTAAGTACCTCAAAGTTACAAAATAATAATAGTATGCTGAGATTCGTGGAAAAGATGTCCAGGAAAACAAGAAAAATGCAGGCCATAGAATTACACTAAACAAAACTGATCAAATAAGTAAATTATGCCATCAATTCCAAAGAGCCTAAAATTTGTTCCATGCATGATCCAGCAGCCAAAAGCAGGAGCCAAGCTTTGCGAGGTGTCAGCCAGTTCATGCAAGGTTAAGTACTTACTAAATTACTTTTCCTAGTGTTAATTTCACAAGCAGTTTGAAGAAATAAATTTACTTGGAAACTGAGATGGTGAATACTAATGACTAGAGAGCCAACTGCACACAGAGGAAGTACAGCAGTACTGATCAATCCATCCAGGCATCAAAGAGTTTATTCATACTTTTCCACAAATGTTTACCATCTACAACTGGCGAGGCACATGTGAAACCATAATTGTACTTGCATGTGATAAGAGCTCAATAAACTTTTTTTGAATAATTAATGAATTAATAAATAGCCTGAAGTCCAGAGACACACACACAGTTCAGTCAGTGTGAATGGCATAGGATATAAGGAGCTAGAGTAAGTCTTTTTTCTAGAAGCTATGACAACTCTCTTTTAATTTTCTTATTTTATACCATCATACCCATCCTATTGGCAAGAATAGTTCTGTATCAGGCATTTTCAATAATTGCTAATCCCAATTCCCTCAGTATGGTTACCCAGATCCCAAGAGAAGAGTGTCACAGAACCCCTGGCTTCCTTCCTTGGAAATGACATGTATGCTTTTGACAACATGGAATCTTATAGCTTGAAGGGACCAAGATGATAATCTAAATACCCAACATGTGCTAGGATTGTCCTAAAGAAACTAAGAAAGTAAAAGAAAACATCAACAAAACATATAGACACACTCAGGTAGACACTGGAGGTGTTATGGGGTCCCTTCCATTCAAATTCATGTGAGTCAGAGAGATTAATGTTTTTCTATTCTTCAATATTGGAAGCAGATGACAGGCAAACTAGTACATCTTGGGCATTAAGTGGTTGGACAATCCTAGCTTGAGAAATAGAGGTGAACAGAACTGGAACAGAAGCAGGACATAGGAGGTTCATAGGTAGCCACCACTTCCATATTAACATCCGAAATGGTTTTCACCAGCGGGATCTAATGACATACCAGAGTTACTTAGCTAAATACTTAAGTATTTAACACAACTTATTCTATTAATTCCCACACAGAATTACATATCTAAGAGGTGGGTACTATCATGACTTCCATGTCATAAAAGAGGACCCTGAGGTTTACAAAGGTAAGGTGACAGGGCTAGAATTTAGTCCTTTCTGGCTTCTAACCATTATGCTACTTAATCTGACCACCCGGGCCCTCTCCCCCATGCACCAACCCACCCATCACAGAGTAAGCTCTTTTTTGTGATAAATACATATGTTCAACTCCATTGAAACCTTGAAAGGTAAACAGACTTAAAGTGGGGGTGTGGAAGTACCTGCACTTCTTTTTTTAATGGTTGCCCGGGAGGATGGGGGTAGAGGGGGAAAAAAACAAGGAAGGTAGGATGGACTAGGAACCATAGAAATAGCAGATCAACTCAGAGATGACTGGGGAGATTCAAGATCCACCAATCTGCCGAAACCGGTTTGGCTCAGTGGATAGAGCATCGGTCTGTGGACTGAAAGATCCCAGGTTCGATTCTGGTTAAGGGCATATACATTGGTTGCAGGCACATCCCCAGTAGGGGGTGTGCAGGAGGCAGCTGGTTGATGTTTCTCTCTCATTGACATTTTTAACTCTCTATCCCTCTCCCTTTCTCTTTGTGGAAAATCAATAAAATATATTACAAAAAAAAAAAAGATCCACCAATCAAATACTCCTGGGCTACAGTATATTCATCTCTCAAAATACTGAAAGATTCTTCCTCTCTCTGAAATTCTCTCACTACTCATTTCTCAACCTGAAACTTCCACTGCACTTGACACTGCATCTCTAGCCATTTACAAGACTAAACCTCCAAGTTACACAACAGTATTTTAAAGAGAGAATGGGCAGCTGCATCTTCTGATTGTACACATCAAGCTCCAACCTTCTGTTTTTACTTCTGAGATTTTGTTAAACCAACTTAAATGAAGAAAACACTATTTAAATAAATTCTTTGCTAAGAATCTTAGGAAAGTGATGTAATTTCTGGCAAAGAGAAAAGCAAGCGAGTAAGAGAGTTTTCTCATTATTAAAGGAACAGTTATGTAACCATCCCACATGGAAGAGCCAGGCTGAAGTCAAAATGATAAAAGACTAAAATAGCCTGCTTCTCTCCAAAAGTTAAGGTTTCAGTGGGGGATTTCATGTGCAACATACTTCTCATATAGCCTCTGTCCTCTCATGAAGGCCTTCACTTCGTTGTCCAATGGGAAGGTGCCGTCATCCTTTCTGAAGCGGTAGAAGAGTTTGACATCCTTGAATTCCTTGTGCTCATCACACACTGAAACACAATATACAGAGAGGGGCAAATAAGAAAAAAAAAATAATCCTTATTTATTTACTCAAATGAATTATAATGCTAATTAAGATTTGTTTTAATACCTAATTTCTCAAGCATGCTACTCTATGAGTTAATACCTGTAGAGTATTTAGTGTGATACTTGGGACAGAATAAGTGCTCAGTATTATTAGCTATTATATCATCATCATCATTATCTGTTAAAAAGGTCACACACAAAAAACAAACAAACAAAAACAACAACAAAAAAGGGCCACAAAATTCAATTCATCATTCATTCCACAAGTTCTGCTTGAGCATAATATCGGGGGAGGCATCAACCATAAAGAATATGAAATCTAGTGAGAGAAAGAGAAATGTCAACATGTAATTAAAATAGGATGTGATAAGATTATGAAGGAGGTGAGGAGAAACAGGGGCCCAAACCCAAAGGAAGAGTACCCAGTACCCCAGTAACCTAGTTTTGGGGACTGGATGCTTCTCTGAAGAGTTTGCATCAATGAGTAGCAATTAAGCAAAAATGAAGAGAAAGGGAATTCTTGCCCAAGAGAATATACCGGCATGTGCAAGATCTTGGCCAGGCTTAGCAATTTTAAGGAGACATGTTCATGAATATTCATTGCACCACTGAGAGTAACAGCAAAAAAAAGTTAGAAAGAACCTCAGTGTCCGTGGTTAAATGCATAATGGCACAATACACGGGATACATAGCAGTGGAAATAAGAAAGCAGGAGATACACTATCAGTATAGATGAGCCTTTCCAAAAGCACATTGATCAAGCTGCAAAAGAATAAATATGCATCTCTATAATGATTTAAAAACAATACGATATGTTGCAAAAAGATGCACATCCTGAAGGAAAAAGTATTAAAAAAAAAAAAAAAAAAGTGCAAATGCCTCTTAGAGGGAGGAAGGAAATGAAGCTGGGGAAAGGTACAGAGGAGGCAATTAAAATCAAATGTATTTTGTAAATGGGTAGGTTCATATCTGGAATAAAGACGTAGTCCTTCGTTTCTCTTTAAGTGTCGCCTCACTCACCATGATGAATGATGCCCCGGTCTGCTAATTTCTGCATGAGTTTAATTGCTGTCTCTCGGTCAGAAGCCTCTTTGTGCTCAATCAGCCAGTCAATCAGTTCTTTTGCGACGAAACAGTTTGGGTAGGTTTTAAGATGATGCCGTCTATCTTTAATAACCTTTTCCTCATGCAACCTGAGCCTGGAAAGAAAATTTGGCAATCATTTTAGAAATGTTGATGACAACACAAATTATTAAACCCATCCCAGAGAGCAGTGACAGGATGGAAGCTCTGAAGGTACCAGAGTGCCATTCAACTATTTCGGTGTCAGTGAGTGACTTCACACTGTCCAGCCCTGAGGCCCTAGGGAGTGACTCCATCCCCAGATCTAATACAAGTGATACAGGTGAATGGAAGGGAAATACAACCACACAACCTAGAGCTCTCCTGCCACTCAAGAGGCTGATAAAAGCTCTCCCACCGCCTCACTCCCTTCTGTTTATCTCTTTCACCAGGGGCTTACAGCTTCAACCAGCCAACCAACAAAAACTCTAGAGACTTGCTGAAACTGTGTACTTTCTTTTCATTGCAGATTGCTCAGTGTCCACCATATTTGCTTTCTCAGTCATAGAACAAATATGAATTCATGACAATATGTCTATTACCTGCCCGTTAGGCACTTCAGGGCATTAGAGACATTCATCAGAAAATACACAGATTCTTGCTTCTATGGGCCTTGTTTCCTATTCAGGCAACAGTTAATCCTTTCATGAGGTTTATTAGGTTCCATGTGTTGATTTGAGCACTTTATATAGATTGACTTAATGTTCACAATAACAATCTAATCAGAAGTTATTACTATCCTTTTTCCTCCCTCCCTCCCTCCCTCCCTCCCTCCCTCCTTCCCTCCCTCCCTCCCTCCTTCCCTCCTTCCTTCCTTCCTTCCTTCCTTCCTTCCTTCCTTCCTTCCTTCCTTCCTTCCTTCCTTCCTTCCTTCCGGCAGAGAGAACTGAAATCTCAGAGACTTGCCCAAGGCCACTTGTCTAACTAAGATTTGGACCCTGATGGCCTCATTTCAGAGTCCAGCTTTTCAAAGGGCACATCATGCTGCCTCTAGCTGGGGAGGAGTAATCAAAACTCCAGCAGATGGATTAGAGCTGCTGAATAAATACAATTTGTATAGGCTGATGGATGAGTGTGGCAGTAAGGAGTTGACACGGAGCATTCCTATTTCCTTCAGAACTCAGTAACTTTTTTTCCAAACATTTTAAACCAGTCTGTGGGGAAAAAGTTTCTCCCATTTATCTTCCCTTCTTTGATCAGCCTTGCATTTTTTTTAATTCTCAAGGGAAGGGCCTGTGTTGGGTGAGCCATGAGATCGCTTTCCTCTTACTTCGCCCACATGGTTCCTGTACTGTTTTCATAGATCCTCAACATTGCTGAGAAAGAGGAATGCCGCATGAGAAAATCACATAGTAACTGCGTGACCTGGGCAAGTAATGTCTCTTCCTCTCTCTGTAAAAATAGGCAGTTATGGAGGGCACTAGCTAGTTGAGATTTGGGGATATAATGTCTGGGAAGCACCAGCGACCCAGCATAGCACCTGACACACTGCAGGTCTCACCCTCCTTCCTCCCCCTCCCTACGGAAGGAACTGGACCATACTCTCACTGGTTGTTGTTTTTTTAACAGAATGCATTAAGTGATATTTAATGGGTTTTGATATCCCAAGGGTCATGATTAGGAGTTAGGAGCATACTGGGCTGGAGCTCTGAGACTCAGTTGCTCTTCCTTGCTAGTCACTGTTATAGGCCAAGCAGTGGTCCCCTAAAATTCAAATGTTGAGGCCCTAAGACCTGGTGCCCCGGAATGTGGCTGTATTTAGAGATAGAGTCTTTTAAAAGGCAATTAAATTAGAATGAGGTCAATAGGCCGGGCCCTAATCCAATATGATTGGTGTCCTTATCAGGGGATGAGATGAGGACACAGACATGCACACGAAGACATAAAGAAGGAGGCCATCTATAAGTCGAAAAGAAGCCTTAGGAAAACCAACCCTGCCAATGTCTTTAAAAAAATTATTAATTTGACAGAGAGAGAGAGAGAGAGAGAGAGAGAGAGAGAGAGAGAGAGAGAGAGAGAGAGAGAGAGATCGACTTGTTGCATCTCTTATTTCTGCATTCGTTGTTTGCATTTTGTATGTGGCCTGACTGAGGATTGAACAAAGAACCTGAGTGTATTGGGACAATGGCTCTAACCAATTGAGCTGCTGGGCCAGGGCTCTGCTAATACCTTGATCTTAGCTTTCTAGCTTCCAGAACTGTGAGAGAATAAACTTAAGCTATTTAAGCCTCTAAGCCACTCAATCTATGATACTTTGTTAGACAGCCTGAGCTGACTAAGACAGCCAATTGTGGAAGACAGGAGGCTCCTGAGTAGCCTGGGGATGAGGGGCTCAGCTGGGGCATCAGCAGCGGGGAGAAGAGATATCTGTTAACAGCATAGAAAGACAAGAACCATTTTTAAGGCAGTTGCTACCACCTATGCCCAGGATTGTACTAGGCATTTTCACAATGCTGACTTCACTGCCATTGGCCTGATGTCCACATCCCCCCAACATTCCTGGGTTGAAATACTGAACCCCAAATGTCTAACCACTATGCTGTGCACCTGAAGTTAATATAATATTGAACATCAACAGTAATTTAAAATTTGAAAATAAAATTTTTAAATTAATTTTAAAAATAAAGAAATACTAAACCCCAAAATGTCAGTTATGAGGACATTCAGGAGCATAGGACTAGGGCTATGAAGACCCCGCTGTAGTTCTGACTCTGCCTGTGCTGCCAGGCGATCAAACTTCTGAGCATGAGAGCCCCATGGTAAAAGGGCATCTGCCCGATCACACTGTCACAATGCTCACTAACCAGATCCAGTTAGCATTTGAGCGCGCTGAGCATGTGCCAGGCACTGTTTTAATGGCTTTATTGGTATTAATCCTCATGCCAATTCCCAAGGCAGGGCATGTAAAAACCACAAATGATACCCATGTAAAGATGTAATTATTAGTAAAAAATAAATGAGCCCTAATTAAAAAAAAACAACAAAAAAAAAAACCATGTTCACAGAGGCACTAAAGTCCTCACACAAATCCTTCTAATGAATTCAGCGACAATGACTTAACAGACTCAAAGTAGCAGAATGTGAAACATTAATTCTTAGACGTGATGTCTGCCAGGAATTCAAGAATAATGAAGACCGATTTACTGAGAAGTTGAAATGTGGGATAAGCTACTATATAATTTGGTAGAGGGAGAGATGGGTTATGAGCCAAAAGAGGAGTTTTAGCTCCTGTAAACTTTCCAGCTTTAAAAAATCTATATTATAGCCGAGACCAGTTTGGCTCAGTGGATAGAGGGTTGGCCTGCAGACTGAAAGGTTCCAGGTTCGATTCTGGTCAGGGGCATGTACCTTGGTTGTGGGCACATCCCCAGTGGGGGGTGTGCAGGAGGCAGCTGATTGATGTCTCTCTCTCATCAATGTTTCTGGCTCTCTATCCCTCTCTCTTCCTCTCTGTGGAAACTCAATTAAATAAAAATTAAATTAAAAAAATAAAAATAAAAAATCTACATTATGTATGAGATAATGTTTATCTTTAAATACTCCAGAACAGAACCTTTCAGTTACTACCCTTTGACCAAACCCAAGCTTGGTTCTCATTCTTGAGCATATCTGACTCCCGCCCTGCTTTGGAAAGCACTAGATAGCATCCCTCAGCCCATCAGGGCCTGGTACATTTCCATGTTTAGAAAACTGAGCAGAAACATGATGGAGGGAAAAGAACTCTGGATCGGGGAGGTGGCATGAAACTTGATATTTTTAGACATGTTACCAGGAGTAAAAAATGCCCAATAACTGTGCTATCATCTTTGTTTTCTTCTCCTTTTATGCTTAGAAACACTGAATTCTAAAAGTGAGCATTGGGTGGCTCAGTTGGCTGGAACACCATCTGTACACCAAAAGGTTGTGGGTTCGATTCCCAGTCAAAGTTCAATCAATCCCTGGTTGGGGTGAGAACAGGAAATAACTAATTGATGTGTCTCTCTCCCACTCTCTGTCTCTCTCTCTCAAATTAATAATTAAAAAAATATATCCTCAAGTGAGGAAAATAAAGAAGAGTATTGAAAATTATACATTCCAGAAAAAGTAGCTCAGTAAAGAGGTAAGAATTTTTACACTGCTAACACATAATTAAGTGGCACCAGGGGTCCTTAATAAATATTTGGTGAACAAATGAATGGACAAGGGCACTCATAGAAATTATGCCATTTTTTCAAAATGGTAAGGAGGCTTCTCACTAACTTAGTAGGAGTACCTGTCTCATAACTTAGTAACCATCTACTTTCATGAAATTTATCTAAATCTTTTAAAAAATGATTCATGTTTTGACTTTGTGGAATTTTAAACGTGTGTGTGTTAAAAAAGCACTTCTTTTTGCTTGAACTAAACTTACCGCTTACAACTATATAGCTTTTCATATACTGATACTCATGAAGATCTCCAAGAAGGAGACAGAATTAGAAATATTTTCATGTTTCATTGAAAAACAACAATTTTGCATAGCTCCAGGAGCATAAGGCTCTACCCAAGTGTAGTGGCAGTGATTAGCTAAGCCAAGCAGAATGGCTCCCTCCGAGATTTAAACTAGAGTGCAGTTTCCAACCTCTCATGAAATCGAATTCTCTAGAAAGATTACAAAAGGCTGAGCTAAAAGCCATACTTTCAAACCCAGCATTTTACCTGGACATGTCAGTCACATTGTCTGCCGTGTCCAACATCCCCTTTGTGTTAAACTGCTTTCCACTTCTTACCCACCTAACCAGGGTTCAAACCCCTACCTGTTTTCTCTGCATGGGGCACCCCTGCCCATGCCCACTGGGACATCAACAGGGAGACCAGGAGCATAAAGCTGTACCCAAGTGAAGGGTGTGATTAGCTAAGCCAAGCAGAATGGCTCCCTCTGAGAGTTAAACTAGAGTGGAGTTTTCAAGCGTTAGTTGTGCCATAGGACACTTTCTTGAAGCAGAAGTCGCCCAGATGTCAATGTGTAAAGCAGAGCCATGTGGGGTACTCTGGCCAAAGGGGTTCAGCTGCCACGTCCTGAAGTAAATGGGGAAATCAGGAAATACTGATTTCCCCA